TTAAAAAATTTCACAATTTTATCTTTTAAGGTATTGTTTCAAGGTTGGACTTAGAACTTTTGAATGCTTAGCCATTAATATTAGTAAATTAAATAATTCTAACAAAAGCCCAAACCAAAATCAAATCAATACTAATACTAACAAAAGACATTCAATTTAATATTACGAACGAGAATGTATTGAATATCTATTTTTTGTTTTGCAATAATTTAGATAAAAATGCATAACCTATTTTTATTTTTCTTTAGCGTTTAGTCATGTAATTAATACTCTCTTATTAGTCTATTTATTTAACATGACTAGTACCTTTAGATTATGTTTATTTTTATTATGGCTTTTTAATTAGCAATATTTGTATTACATAATTTTATTGTCTTTATTGTTGAATATTTTAGGATAATGCCATGACACATCTCATATTTTGTATTATTTTCTTGAAAAATACTTTATATAGTTGTATCTTATTAGGATTAAAGAAATATTTTGAGCATGCGTTATATGTTTTGTTCTACGGAGATTTTACCGGAAAAAGACCCGAAAAAATCCGAATAACTTGAAAACCCGAGAAAAACCGAGATTGAAAAATCCGAGCTTTATTTGTTTGGTTTGGTCTTTAGATTTAATAACCTGACACAATTGGTTTGATTTGGTAATTGTAAAATCCAAACCAACCCGCCATATGTACACCCCTAGGTGCAGACAAAAGTTTTAATTATGCATGGTTAAAATGTTAGTACTTGGTTTCCTATCCACAAGCCGCATCAACCGAAAGAGAAGAGAGTTAATTTCAGCAGGTATAGACGTAGAAGGGAAAAAAAGGGACTCTAGATGTTTATAGAGGGAAACATATTACCTTGGCTACAACATACAATTGCACAAGAGGTGATTGAAGGCGACTTTTTTCTTTAATTAAGTTCATGGCTAACACTAGGAGTGTACATGGACCAGGTTGGTTCGATTTTATTCAAAACCAAACCAAACCAACTATTTCGGTTTGGATTGGTTCAGTTTTGTCGGGTTTTTCGGGTTTTTTGTTACTTACATATTATTTCAATCTTACTTTGTTAAATATTTGATTATAAGTAAATATCTATTTAGTAAAAATATAAAAAATTGACAAACATATTATCGATTAAAATATTCTTATGGGAGAATTCTATTAATAACACATAATAGTTATTTTTTTAGTCGTCTGATAATAATTTTTCGTTGATATACACTTTCAGGTTAACCAAATTTAGTAATTAAACATAAAAATCAATATGGTACCCAAATATTAATAACCACTCCACATTCGAAAAAAATATAAGAATTTAATAGATCTTAACATATGATATGAATATGGGAGAACAGAGAGATAGAAACATTTGAGTAACACTTGATAAGAAAGTGATCATACAACCCATTATTTAAGGTCAATAAATATGGACACTTCATATTCTATTAAAATTTATATCTCGCAAGAGAATCCTAAATATTTCTAAATATTTTTTAAAGAAAATTTTATATAAAATCTTAAAAGTATATATAAAAATTATATATTTATATGCCGGGTTGGTTCGAATTTTTTTACTCAATACCAAACCAAGTCAGGTTTTTTAATCGGTTTGGTTTGACTTTTCGGTTTGGTGTGGTTTTTCGGTTCGGTTTGTACACCCCTAGCTAACACACCCATGTTGAGTGATTTTTCAAGGTACCATAAGATTGAAGGTGACTTTTTCACAATTTGGAAATATCAGCTTATGTGCATATTTGGTATTGTGGGTTTTTTATGTCTAATTTTGTCTGTGTTCTTTTGGCATAGGGAATTTTAATTGTACATCTCATGAAGTGTTCTTATTTCTTAGTTGTAATGTGAAGTAAAGCTGCATTAGAATCAAAATCGTTGGGCCCACAACCGCGGGAAAGCTAGAGTCATCTAGTTAGTAAAAGAATCATCTCCCTCAAGACCTGGGAGACCGGATCAGACCCTCTCCTCTAAAGAAAAGGAGCAGCGGCGCAAGAGAGAGAGACCAAAATCAGATCCTTTTCCCCTCACATTGCCTAAAACGGGCTCCCTTCTTCTTCTCCAATCCCCCTTTCTAACCTCTCTCATTCTTCAACACATGGAAAATCGAAGTCACCTTCAAATTTGAAAGAACTTCAACAACAAATCTAGATTTTGAGAATAAAAATGGAGATATGAGGGCCTAGATTACTCTGCAATTTCTGGGTTATCAAGGAGTGATTTGGTGCTAGATTGCTGCGATTTCTGTTGAAGTAGTAGCTGAACTCCATCTTGTTTTCTTCTTAGCTTTTATTCGGCATCGAACGAGGTTTTGTCAATGTTTCTGTATTTGATTCATGCTTTGGCAAGTTTGAAAAGCTTTGGTATGCTGTAGCTGAACACCGTTTTGTATTTGTGTATGCCAATGTCAATGTTGAAGTCTACTCATCCATGATTTATTACATGTGTTTGAAAAGCAAAGTTTTTTTTATGTTATCTAATCCTAAGTTTACTGAGAGTAACTTGTGTATTTGAGTTGGCTGCTTGTCTTCTTATGCCTTGAACGAGAAATTTCAACCAAGAACCAACTTTGAGGTTCTTGTTCCGTTCATAATTCGAGTTTTAGTGTAGATCTTATAGTTGGATTTCTTCTTTGCTAGTTTGACAGTGATGTATAAGTTTATTTGGAGACTTTAAAATTTGATCCAGAAGAGATGTTTCAATTAAAAGGTCTGTTCCATATCTTTTAAATAAGCTTTTAGTCCTTTTGCAAAAAATACAACCAATATGACTGTTTCAAAGATTTCTTCATCCATTTTCTTGATGTTGGCATTGGTCTTAGCTTCTTTCGCTTCCTCAACAGAAGCAGGAAAGTTTTTTAAAGTTGCATGAAGTGATTGTTAACACTGAATTGGGGCATATTGTTTGGTTTAGATCTTCTTAGCTTTCTCTCTTCTGTGAAGTTGATTTGTGCGCACATATGGTGTGTTTAACTTTTAAGTGGGTAGATTTGCTTTATCTGGTCTTTTGTATTCACGGACCATAAATAGAGCCAAATTTCCTCGATTTGGGATTTTAAAAATAAACCGGTGACTTGAAACACCATAATTATTCTAAGTGGCGACTCTAAATAAATAAATAATCCCATTTCGATTAATGTCACTTAAATTGGAAAAACTCCCTTATATCCCCTTTCGGGTAAAAAGGAGGTGTGATAATAAGTGACCAATTTGCTTTGGGCACACCAGGAATTACTAAATTCTAGATGAAAATATTTAGTGTGACTAAACTACCCTTCATTAAATATTGCACCAAAGCTATAGTAGCACTTCTTTTCTCAAATGTGAAGAGTAAATGACTTTTTAGGAATACGTATATAAGGATAATTTTGGAAAAACAAATTGAATTTTTTCTTGATTATATAAATGGACACTTATTTTGGACCAAAATAAAAAAGCAAATTAATCATTTATTGTGGACCAAAAGGAATAAAAGATAAGCAGCGCTGAAATTTTAGAAACGATTTTTTTCTTTTGTCCTTTAACCATATGATATTCGGTACTCAATAGTCAATAGCCGGACTAATTTTGATTCGGGTCGCATAAAACTCATTAAAGGAAAAACATGTTATGTCAGAAACTTTTTCATTCTTAGAGCTTGATCACAAGATTCAGTGGCGGACCCAAAGCATTGAATATGTGTTTCGGGAACCCAATAATTTTTGCATAAACCTTATATTTATATAAAGAAATCAACTAAATATTTATAAATATTTGACTGTGAACCCAATTATTATTGCATGTAAGTTGAATTCCATCAATAGTTGCTATACTACTTAATATTACTACCTGTTTACTGGTTTATAATACATTATCCATGTCAATCCATGAAATTCAAAAATATCATCTCTTAAACCGATGAACATGATAACATGGAGTATCTCAAACGTAGAATTATCAAGGACATAATAGACTTGATAGAGAATCTAACTGTGAGTGATTCATGGAAATATAAGGAAAAAGTGTAGGCACGTGGCAATTCTAGATTCAACCTCTTAATTAACTATAGGCATTAGTCTAATCTAAGAAATGCCTACAGATGCCTTTTTTCCTTTTTATGTATACTAGTATACTTACCCGCGCGATGTGCGGATCATTTCAAAGGAAAAAAGATGGGGAAAAAAATATTAGAGACAGAAATAAATTGCAGACTACATTTAGCAACCACATTCAGAGGAATTAAACCAAAAAAAAAAAAATAGATGAATTTAATCGGGTTTTCTCTATAAAATTATTGACAGGGACCATCAATAATCAAGAAATGTTACATCATACTAGGGTAATGCTACACCAGTACTTGGCTTTAAAAGGATTAGTCCGCGTGAGAATACAAAAAAAAAATTGTCTCAAGTTGTGATCAACAAAAACAAAAAACAGTTAAAATTATGTATAATCACAATAATTAAGACATCACCTTCAGTTGTTTTGTACTTTAGATCAGAAGTATATGAGCACATGAGCAAGTCAATCATGTTGGTCGATGATACAAATGAAGACTCATATTGATAACCAAAATCCTAGAAATACCTAATCCTTGTTAGCAGAATCTACAATAAGAACATTAATTCTCATCAAGATTATGTGTCAATTATTGATATAGCAGCCATCATGTTGTTCCAATCGAAAACAACATCATTAGAAGCTACTTATTCCTTTACAGTTGAGGAACAAAGTTCTCTATTGCATACTTAAGGTAAGTTATTGCTACATGTAGAAACAGACGTATATTGCAAACTATTAGATGAATTGATCGGTAAAACATTTGTTCCTCTTTCCTCTTTAATATTGGCCACCCTAGCATGTGCTGCTAAATTTAGTATCTAATAAAAAAAATGCTAATAAGGGTATGTCATGTTGTAAAATCAGGTATCAACAAAGGCAAAAAAAAAATCTTACCCAACTATAAGCCAATAAAAAGTTCTCTATTTATTAGCAAAAGACAACGATGTATTGGATTACTTGAACACAAAAACTTCAAGGCAAAGACATTAAAAGGAACTTCCATCTTATACACTCATGTAAAGGTACGACTATAAAATTTGTCTCAAATTCAAAATAAAATCAACATAGATAATAAAAAAAAAGGGTATTCTTACATTCCCCATAAAAGGGTCTCAATCCAAAAGGAGAGCAACACCTCAACCTCACTATAGCCTCTAGTTGTGGCACAGTAAGTATTACTAGTGTTTCCCTAGTTTCATTTGATTGACGTCTCGTATCCTGAAGTAGATAACGAAAGAAGCAAATATCAGTGAGAGATGTACAATATTTTCACAATCAAAAAAGTCTTGTACGGTTGCTGGAAATCTAATTCTGGACAATCCCCATAATGAGTCTGTTGATATACTTACCTGCCTAATTTTGACATAACTTTGTTGTAACATGGAGGCTACAGAACATGAGAGTCGCGGATGACAATTGGTTATACAATATTATATGTATCTGCAACAGGAACTCCTTTGCTTCAACATGTAGACTATTAAAAATAAGATTGTTGCTTTATCATCACAACAACGTAAGACTATAAATAGGCTACATGGCAAAATATGCTCTTTTAGACTCTACAATTAACCCTTTGATTGGTAAATTTTTCCTCTGAATCAAATGCAAAAACTTAATTTAGGCACATGTATTTATGATATAAAACTTGAGCAATAGCTCTCATGATCAGTGGATTCCACAGATTATTCCTCATTGATATAGACACCTTTTTTTTTTGCCTGCTTGTTTTGCGCAAGCACGTCCTACTGGGGTAAGTGTAGCACCCTATTTTTCTGCACTTGAGGATTTCACAACTTGCAAATTACTATAAAATATGACTATACGACATAGCAACCTTTAAATTGTATATTGATTTGAATTTATCAGATTATTCCAAACAACAATATGAGTCTTGAAGTTAAAATTTTGCATTTAAACACATATTACGCAAAGGAAAACTGAAAGAAATCTAGACATACCATATTATGTATCATCAATAGCAACAGCAGCAACAAACAATAGATGGAAACAGAGGCAAATGGGCACAAAACTTTTGAGAATTGATGATCAAAATATTTTCTTTAATCTCTCAAAAAATCTATTCCTTATTGATAGAAAGAAGATAATTACAATTCAAATACTGATTTGTGATGCAATTCTAATTTTGGCCATACCAGAAGAAAGAGAAAAAAAATATTCTGTGGAGTTCCTGTGATCCAATAGATTGTTGCTCCGGCTCCGACAACTGAATCCCAAAAAGGAGGAAACCCAATATAAGGCCTGCTATGGAAAAAAAGGAGAAAAAAAAGAAGAAGAATTTTATACAGAGATACATGACATAAGCATGAAACTTTATACCTTCAAATCTTTATCACACTCGGTAAAACTCTCTCCCTTATTGATTTCTTCTCGCCCTTGGATTTAGCGATTTTAAGTTTTGGTTAAATGATTGTTGGGTTCAAACACATACTTAAATTATGAGATTCTTTTAAGTTTCGATTTAAGATAAGATACACTTTGCACAACGTCAAGACAAAAACATGCTAGTATTACTGTTGATAATATTAATCTCAACAAAGAATAAAAAGATACGTGCAATAAATCTCTGAGTCTCTTTGTGGCTGAAAGGTACCCGTAAAGGAGGCAGAATCTCGGCGTAGCAGAGGATTGATCGAAGAAGAAAATGGTTAGAGTTGAAGAGGATCTTAGAGAGTAGTTATATGGATCCCGTCAGTTATATGACGCTTTGTTTTCCTACAATTACTGAGATCGTGCAGATTGTGGGAATTAGAATGTGAGTACGTGTGGGTTCCTTTTTAGTTTAAAATATAGCAGTATTTAAAAATTGAAATAAAATAGAGTTATGTGTGGTGGTAACTTCTTCACAATATAAAATGGAATCGGCTTTTTAAAAAGAGAAACTAGTTTTACCTAAATTGTAACTAATTACCTAAACTATAACTAATTTGTCCTAAAATTGCTATATGGCAATTTATGCATGTTGACACTTGGCAAAATCTCATGGCTGACTTCTTTCCTTTTAAGTAGATATAGATGACTCATTTTTAAATATTTCGTAAGGTCCCTTTTGCATACCATTTATTTAGTTTTCTTGTTTTGTAGAATTACCCATAACTTGTCCATTATTAATTTTCGGTGTTTTTTCTTAACAATAATTTGTGGCGTTTCTTAAAGAGACTAGAGGTTCCAAAAACAACATTTTGACGAAGTGTGATTTCTGTATTTTTCTTTTCCTGATAAAAAGCTGCTGCTATTGTTTATATTTGACATAAGTTGGTAGTAGTAATTACTAAACCTGTTCACTAGTTAATTACATTATCCATCTCGGTCCATGAAATTTGAAAAGAATTAGAGGACATCAACCGCTGAATATGGTAACATGGGCTGTCTCTTAAAGTTGGAAATTGGAATTGTGAGGGACACAGTAGACTTAATACAGAATCTAAATCTGTACACTTGAATAAAATTTCAGATATGGTGCACATATGTGGCAGTTTGAGGTTCTACTTTCGAATTTAAATACTAGAATTTGTCTAGTCTTATAAAGATTGACATTCAGTTTTATGAATTTTACTTGGATAAAATCATCTTATAATTTAAATACATTATATAGAGTATCTAACTTTTTAGCCAGCGGGTTCCTTTGGCCTAATAGTTTCCAATATTGTTCCCCTTTCTTGTGAACATTCAAAGGACACAACTCAACTAATTAACACGTGCTTTACTAAACTAGTGCAACATCAATTACTACACAGTTAAATTTGGCTGTCATAAACATTGATTTATGCAAAATCCACCCAAATGAAACGTTATTGACAGGCATTGCACCTCATAGAACTCTTATGAATTTTGGTAGGTCCCTCAATTTGTCGTGAAACATCGCAAAATCACTCCCTTTTATCGTGAAAAATTACAAATTGTTATAAAATAAAAGCAATGCAGTAAAATGTAAATAAGAAGAGATAGAAAGAGGGGAGAAGTGTTTTCTTCTTTCACTTTGGTGTATTTTTCCATTGCAATTACATGACCTTTTATAGGCATAAAAAGTAAAGATGATGGACATAAAGTAGGAAATTTAATCTTTAAGTTATTCACAACATGTGCATCCAATGTAGCATCCAATGTAGCATCCAATGTAGCATCCAATGTAGCATCCAATGTAGTATCCAATGTACAAACTATTCATAACACTCCCCCTTGGATGTCCATGTAAGATAATGTGCCTCATTAAAAACTTACAAAAAAAATATTGGAATGTACATAGTTATTTATAATATGCATTGCTTGCTGCCTCATTAAAAACCTTACCAGAAAAATCTAGTGGGACAAAACCTTAGTTAAGGAAAAGAGTGCAGCGTGTAGTTACTCTCCCTGATGAAAAATCACTTAATGTCTCGAAGACGATGCATTCCAATCTTATATATCTGCTTTTCAAATATTGAGGTTGGTAATGCCTTAGTGAACAGATCAGCCAAATTATCACTTGAACGAACTTGTTGTACATCTATTCACCATTCTTCTGAAGAGCATGAGTGAAAAAGAATTTCGGTGAAATGTGTTTTGTTCTATCTCCTTTGATATATCCTCCTTTCAATTGAGCTATGCATACAACATTGTCTTCATACAATATTGTTGGAATATTCTCTTTCGAAGAAAGACCACATGTTTGTTGAATGTGTTGAGTTATAGATCTTAACTAAACGCATTCCCGACTTGCTTCATGAATGGCTATTAACTCTGCATGATTTGAAGAAGTAGCAACCATAGTTTATTTTGTCGAACGCCATGATATGGTTGTACCTCCACTTGTAAATAAATAACATGTCTGAGATCGACCTTTGTGCGGATCAGACAAATATCCTGCATCTGCATAACCAATCATTGATGGCTTGGATTCATTTGAATAAAATAAACCCATATCAATGGTTCCTTGGAGGTATCTGAATATATATTTAATACCATTTCAGTGTCTTTGAAAGCTATACTGAGAAAGCTATATCTGGTCGGGAATTATTGGAAAGATACATTAATGCCCCAATTGCACTANTGAGATTTATCTTTGGAACTGATTGGTCTGTTACGCTTCATGCGTACCATAGACTCTGTCCCTTATGAACTTTATTTTATTTGGAGCATTAACAGCTGAAATATGACATTTAGCTTTGGGTCAGCAAATACGTCTGGCAATAATTTGTAAATAAATTATCACTTAAACTTCAAGTTCATATTTTCTTGTACGGGGATCTATATGTATTCATAATAATTCATTTCACGTATCACTTTCTCAGCTGCCCATTTTCTCCCCCTAATGTTGGGATCACCAACACATTTCTCAACCTTCTTTGGGAACTCATCTTTGTGCATTTTGTGGCATAATTAAATCATATAACAAATCTATATTTCTATATAGAAATTATTTGGTTCCTGACCCTGAACCGATTGTGATAGGGAGAATTTTTTTTTATAACTTGGCTAGATGCGTACAAGTGCCGTTGTATATTAAATAATACATCTCATACCAAATTTCGTTTTGGAAGTTTTGTTCTCATAACCAATGATTTAGCTATAATTGGAGGCATACAATTTCTGCTAAACCAACTTGGATTTAAACCAGTATTATTAAGATAAATCATTATAATTTATATTCTAGAACTGTGCTCTAATAACCCGAGCAAGCAATCTTACAAAAGCCAAACTGCAAGTTGATAACAAATGCACATGTGACCAGATAATAGATGCATCTATTAAAATCATATAATAGTAAACGTTCCACATGGCAGGTGATTGAGACCATATATTTATTACCTTTTAATTGTTCTAGAAATCAAGGGATTCAATCCCAACCTTAACTGGTATATCATGAGAATAAGCAGCACAAGATAATTCTTGAAGAATCTTTCTATTCTTCAATATACGCCAATGTAATTCTCAATTAATTTTTCGCATCATAATTGAACCAGGATGGTCAACCGGTTATGCCAACTAATATTTGTTTTAGTAAACCTCTAGTTTACTTGTGGCATATTATTCCATCATCATACTTTTATTTGTGTAGTACAAATAGAAAGAAAATCGGGTAACCTTTCATATTTACCCGGTATGATTATAGAAATATGAAGATATTCAATCTTCCTTTCATTTATTGTCTCAATATGCCAACCACTTTGACTTATACATTTGAAACTCAAAAAAGTTTCTTTTGAGACTTTACAATATCAATATCATGAATAATTTTATTCATCCGGGTAGTAACAAATTAGTTTTTTCGGAGCTCTTAATAACTTTTGTACTACAAGATATTTTATCATACCATTCATATGGTAAATGTATCCTTCACGGAGAAACTTATATCATAATAAATTGTCATGGTTAAAATCATCATAAGCAAAATCATTTCTTGCTTTAATTTTGCCTTTAATAACTTCTATAAGACATGACAAAATAATATTTGGCTTATCATATGTACGTGACCAATGACATATTCATGTAACCACACAATAATATTTATTCTCTTTATTCATCATTATATCATCAGCATGGTACAATGGGACACAAAATCCAATGTCTTACCTCTATAATGGCATGTTAGGCTATAATAAATTGAGATCCAAACTCAACTCTTATTATTATGGAGCATCAGGACTTGATCTCGATGTCTTACCCTCAATCAATGGTATAATAGGCTAAACAATATTGAGATTCACTCTCAAGCCTTAATTTTAATAACATGCCAAGAAAGTTGTACACAACTAATTTACAACTTAGCAAATCAAATTTGCTTTCTTAAAGAAGTGTACAAATCTCAAATTAGCGTAAAGCTTTATTAATTATTTGTAGCATCTATATGAAATACAACCGTTTTTAGTCAGAAATTTCTTCTAAATTCTATTAGAGTTTAAATGGATTATAAAATCATTATCATAATATGCCAAAGTGCACTATGACTCACCCTTGAGCCTTTATGAAAAATATCAATTATCATTAATCTTGTGGTCATCAGTAGAAGCGGGGTTAGTTATAAGAATATAATCACTTCCACAAGTCATGTATATCATGAAACTTTGCTATAATTCAAGTGTTATTTACTAATGCAAGATTTTTAATTTTAAATAACTATTATATAATAAATTTTAGGTACTGATAAACCATCAGCAAAGTAGTAACAACCATATAGAAAGCGATTAAGAAATTATTATGATCCATTGACTATTAAATCTCATAATTAAGCATTAACATCTGTCAGTTACCACTTTTCAAATAAAATGTATCTTAAAATCCTCTTTTCTAAAAGAGAGAGACATCTTTAAAATTATCAATATATTTATATGCTGCAAATTTACATCCAATAACTTGTAATAAATCATGATAGTGTTTGATAAATATTATAGAACGCATAAAAAAAATCACTAAGTATTTACATGATATATTAGTAGCCAAATTAAAAATATATACATGTTCAGTATTTATTGAATAAGTCAAGACACCTGATCAGAGAGGTTCAAAAGAAATCCAAATTGATGAAAAATTCAAAGAAAAATTAAAGTACTTAAAAAAACTGAATATTCAAACCATAGTTCTACTTAAGCAAGTTCTGTTTTGAAAGCTTACATATGAAAAAATTAGCTATTATTAAAAATCAATGTAACTAAGAATATTATTAATAAATGATGATATAAGAGTTCCAAAGCGAACCGCATACACTTGTTAGGCTAAGAAGATTAAGTGAAGGAAACATATCTCACA